AAGCTTTGAGATCGTTTCCAATATGTAAAAATATGTTAGAGTCTTTAAAAATGTATATATATATACTGGACTTATTAGGTTTGAGTGAAATGTTAATATTTGTTTTAGTCTATAAACTTCTGATCCAAATTTCAGATGGAAATTCTTTAATTTAGAGCTTTTTTGTACAGAAAAAGACAGTTTGTCAACATAACAAATGTTTTAATTAGTTGTAACTTCTAACTGAAATTAAGTATTATTTCACCAAATTTCAATTTCTAAATCTTTCTGTATTGTCTAAAATAAAATGTAAACATGCCTGAAAACATTAGATTTTGCTTATTTTCACCAACTGTCATTTTATTCTGTAAATGACAAATTTTTATTAGAAATGTAAAAGAAAAAGCATTAGTACTTTCCAGAACAAAACAAAAATACAAAACCTAAATCTCTCAAGTCTCTGAATTCAAAATACATAATTACACCAATCCAGTTCATTTGGCGAAAATATTTAGATATAATTTTTCTTAAATGTAAGAAAAAGTAAAATTAAAAACAGTACGAAGCAATTGAGTGCGAATCATTACCTTCTTTTGAAAATATTTATATAAAAATATTTTTATAAAATATTACTTGTGAATTCACAAATTGTGTTGCATTTATGAATTGTGTTTTGACTTTTCCAATTGGATTTTGCAACTGTGAATTGTTCTGTGCTTGTATGAATTTAATTTTGTAAATGTATTATTTTTGAGTCTGTTCTGGCTCCATAATAATGTAGCAGCTGTTTTATGATCATTAAATGCTATACAGGGCTGCATTTCTTGAAAGTATGAGTGAGCTACTTTCATCGTAGAGATCCTAGGCAACAATGCTTCTACAGTGTACTTGGGGTTATGATACTTTTAGCGAGCACAGGCCTTCTCTTTATGTACAGAAATACATTTACTTCCGTTACTAGTTCATATCCTGACCTGTACCTATCTGAATGTGTTTGTCTTTCCTCAGCGAAGAAAATTTTTCTTTGGACACCCAGAAGCTTCAGCAGAAATATGTGAAGCTGCAAAGAGTTCTCCATCCTGACAACTTCACCCAGAAGTCACAGGTAAATGGACTGTATTGTGTAAAATATGTTTGTATTCAATGATTTACATCCTATCATTTATTGTAACTAAAAAATTCAGGTTGTTGGAGGGAAACTGTTCATGCATTTTTTGGATAGGAGAATTTATTTTCGAATGTTAACTAATAAACCGTGCTGCACAGTGGGTAGTACTGTTGCCTCACAGCAAGAAGGTCACTGGTTCAAGCCTCGGCTGGGTCAGTTGGCGTTTCTGTGTGGAGTTTGCATGTTCTCCCCTTGTTCATGTGGGTTTCCTCCGGGTGCTTCGGTTTTCCCCGCATGTCCAAAGACATGGTACAGGTGAATTGGGTAGGCTACATTGTCCGTAGTGTATGTGTGTGAATGAGTGTGTATGAATGTTTCCCAGTGATGGGTTGCAACTTGAAGGACATCCACTGCGTAAAACACATGCTGGATAAGTTGGCGGTTCATTCCGCTGTGGCGATCCCCAGATTAATAAAGGGACTAAGCCGAAAAGAAAATGAATGAACGAACGAATGAACCTTTGAATATAGACTCATTGTGAGGGTTGAGCTTGTTAAAAGGATAGTTCAACAAATAATGTAAATGCCCTCATTTTTATCTTAGTTTACTCACTAAATTTTCATTTGGTTCTGAACTTTAATGAACAAAAAACAAGTGTGCCTCACACAGGAATCAAGTTTGAGACCTATGATGTAACATGTGTATAACTGTGATTGACATAATGATGCACAACATTTGAGACACTGCTCATTGCAGAGCCACTTGGGCTCCAATGAGGGGGAGCTTGAGCTCCAAGTCCTCCCCCTATAAGCTTTTTTAATGCATACATCCACCCCACCCCTAACCCCAACCCCCAGTGAAATCACTTGTAGAAGAAGTGCAAGGGAAGAGGAGCTGGAGCTCTAGCTCCCCCTTGCTGGAGCTCAGCTCTGCCCAAGTGGCTCTGCAGTGATTACCACTTGCAATATATTGAGACTATACTGTAAAGCAGGGGTCACCAACATGGTAGCCTGCGAGGATCACATGTGTTGCCCGCAGGCCTGTTTTAAAAATAGCTCACCGTAGCGCCACTTACCAGTAAGCTTCATCTAATATAGAAGTAATCATTTAAAAATGTAAATATTTGC